TTGGGGGGGGAATGTGTCCACACCTTGGAAATGCCATATGTTTGAAGTCTTGCTTAGAAAGTCCTCTGTTCATGTGGCAATGTGACTGTCTTCTGAAAACTGAGGTTTACACCCAGTGTCTTACAATACATTGGCCCAGACGAGGGCTGCAAGGTAAAAGCCGGTTCTGAGAGGATCCAGATCCCAATTCGACAAATACGACATGTCTGCTTGTTTACTTGATTGTTTTGTTCTCGGCAGCCCTCTCCCCTCCTCCCTTTATTATTTTTTTAATTGTATTTTTCAAGTACAGTTTACAATCAACATTATTCTGTATTAGTTTCAGGCATACAGCATGATATTTCCAGGACCCACCTGGCACCTAACACCATTATTACAGTATCGTTGACCATGTCCCCTACACTGTACTGTACGTCAGTCCTGGCAGTTTGCGTCTGTGATCACCGCACTCTAACCCCAGTGGGGACGATGGCAAAAGCCTAATCAGAGGCCCTTTGGGCGAGTGAAGTCTGAGCCAAATGGCCCTTCCATCGCCCCCACCCCGCCACTGGGTGGTGAGCTCTGCACACACACACACACACACACACACACACAGACACACGCGCGCCTCCTGGCTCCCGCCCCTGCCCCCATTCCCTCTGCTTCCCAGGAAAGGACAGGCAGCCAGAGGCCCTTTCTCAGGACCGAGGGCTCGTGCTTTCCCATCCAGTCCTTCCTGGGCACAGACACTTCCTAATGAAGGTCATTCCAGAAACCTTGTAACCTGAGAGATGAACAACGCCCGCCTTGAGGGCAGCTGTGGGGACTTAATGGGATTACAGGAAGCCATTGGCCCAGGAGTTCACTTGGGTTGGCTCACGGCTGCTGGTTACAGTTACGCAAGCTGCACCCTGCACAGCTCCGGGGCCATTTTCACCCTCAGAGATGCATATCTTAGTACACCTTCTGGCAGAGCCCAGTCATGTGTCCACATAGGGACTCACCCCAGGGTTGGTGCCACCCTGGCAGATGCCAGGCCCTCTCTTCTAAAATATCAAGGCCTGCTCCCACTTTGCTACGAGAATCCTAGAAGCCAGCAACCAAGGGCTCATGATGCGCAGTCCCCCGCCAGGAGTACCCCAATTTTGTCCCCCTGCTTTCGTGACCTCACGTCCTGCCTCAGTCCTTCTAGTGCCTCAGGCTGGGACTTCTGTCAGGGCCGGAGGGACATCCAAAGACCCTCAAACCAGGCCCCTGTGCCAAGGGGACAGAGGATGGAGAGGAGGCCCCAGGGAACCTTGGAGTCAGCTTTGGGCTCTGTCTTTTCAGGTGCTAGTCTAAGCGGTTCATAAAGACGAGCAACAGGCGGATATATAATGACTGGCGGAATCTAGCAGCATAACAATGGAAAACAGAAAATAATTGGAAACATGATGTGTGACAATCTACACTAACAAAAGACAAAGATGCTAATTGATTGTACTTTTGCTACGCCCTAAGCCATGCCCACCAGCCAATCAGAGTGACTATATGAAAATTAACCAAGATGACGGCCGGCAACCATGGAGCTGGAGCAAGTAGGAGGCTTGGTTGCCCAGGTGATGGAGGAAGCCAAGCTTCCCGCCAGCCCTGAGCTCGCTGTGGCCTCCGCTAAAGGCAACAAAGTTTCAATTATAGAAGCTAAATAAATCCCAGGTACCTGCTTCAAGCCAGCCTCTACTGGGAGCTTGGGTGGCTGGGGGTTGTGGCCAGCCTGCAAACAGTCATCAGCTCCCTCACCTCACCCAGGATGGCCAGGAACCCCAGTGGGGACTCCCACACTGAAGGGGCTGTGGCCAGCCTGCAAACAGCATCATCCCTTCACCCAGGCTGGCCAGGCACCACAGGGGGGACCCCCACCCTGAAGGGGCTGTGGCCAATCTGAAATGGCCCTCAGCCCCACACTCAGACTGGCCAGGCACCCCAGCAGGAGCCTTCACCCTGTAGGGGCTGTGGCCAGCCTGCAAATGGCCCTCGGTCCCTCACCCAGAATGGCCAGGCACCCCATTGGGACCCCCACACTGAAGGGGCTGTGGCCAGCCTGCAAACAGCCATCAGCTCCTCACCCAGGCTGGCCAGGCACTCCTATATAATGAAAGGGTAATGCCAGAGGGATGTCTGACTTCCAGCTTAGGCCCTTTTCCCCAGGGCGTGGGCCTAAGGCAGCAGGTGGTCATCCCCCGAAGGGTCCCAGACTGCGAGAGGGCACAGGCCGAGCTGAGGGATGCCCCTGAGTGCACAAATTTTTGTGCACTGGGCCTCTAGTGTAATATATAATTTATAATCACTGTCATTTTAACAAATGCCTTCTGAACGTATAACCCATATATATATATATATACAAAATTGTATACACACTTTGAATGATTATAGTTACTGTTTATTAACATCCAGTTCATTTTCAAAATTTAGAAGAGCTTATTGAAATAAGTAGTTTTGTGGTCAATGCCTGTTTTCCAACTGATGACTGTTCTGGTCCAGGCTGTGCTGGTATTGCAAAGCAATGGAATCGCAACATCAAGAATCATTTCATTCGGTATTTGTGTACCTTCAATTCATCAAGTGTTGCTGGTTTTGTACCGTAATCTTTATCTTTTAAGTACCCCCATAAAAAAAGGTTTAGTGGCACTTTAGAATAAAGTTCCTGAGTGCACAGCTTAGTCTGACTTCACCCATTATTTCTTCACCCATTATTTCAAATCAGTTAAACCTGAAAAGGAGTGAAAATCAAGTGTGTTATCACTGTTAAAGCTCTGCTCTAGGCCCTAGAGTCTAAGCTAGGGGGTCTGTGGCTCATCTTAGGGGCAACTGGATTCAGACACCCCCATATTTGGAAAAGCAACCTTCACATTTCATTTCTCCGTGAAAAAAAGTGGGGGATTAAGGGGGGCGGTGAGGGTTCTATATTCACCAACACTCAAATTCTTATCAACCAAGAAAGAATATCCCACTTTTTTCAACTTCTTTCTTAAATATATACATTTAAGTAAATAATACTAACTTTACTCTGTATTTCCTTCATAAGAATACTAAAATACTAGCTTCTTTGGACATAATCTAAGGTTTAGAGTTTGTTGTTTGTGTGTGACAGAGGTGCTTATAATTTGAGAGATAAGGGATGGTGACCTAAAATTATTATGGCTATTAATTTACATGTGGCCTTTGCTGCAAAACTGAGATGCAGCCAGATTTTTTCCCATTTGAAGTATTCATATGATAAGAATTCTATGCTCAGAGTGCAGCTGACCCTTGAATAATGTGGAGGTTAGGAGCGCCAATCTCCACGAAGTCGAAGATCATGCATCTAACTCTTCATGAATGGAAGGGCTTGCTGATTTATTTTGAGATAGACTCCATGGTTGATCAGGGCCATCTGCTGGCTGCCTAGGGTACTGCAGCTCAGCTGTATTTCAGACTGAGCAGTGAATTCCCCAGGAAAAACCCCAAGAGGAGAAATCCCTGTGGCCGAGGGGAAGATAAAAAGTTTGTATGGACGGATGGTGGGCAAACAATGCCTCAGTCAAGAAGGTACCACAGGGATTCCAAGATCTTAGAACTAATATGAAACTGCCTCATTTTGTCTTTTAGGGAGCACAGATTCCATAAGAAAAATATCAGTTATGTGTTAAAATACTAGCTATGTGTTATTATTACCCATTCTTCACATGAACTTTCAATGTATTCCCTCAGGAGATTACCCTCACCCCAATCAGGATACGTCAACAGTTTTATAGTGGGATGGAAAAGGTTCACTTTCAGAAATTTCTCTTAGTTGGCTGTCGGGACACACCTCTCTTCCTAAAAGAAAGCAATCCGCCAGGGTGGTGTGCCTCAACGGTTGGGCATTGACCTATGAGCCAGGAAGTTGCAGTTCCATTCCTAGTCAGGGCACATGCCAAGGCTGCAGGCTCGATCCCCAGTAGGGGGCGTGCAGGAGGCAACCGATCAATGATTCTCTCTCATCGCTGATGTTTCTCTCTCTCCCCCTCTCCCTTCCTCTCTGAAATCAATTATACACACACACACACACACACACACACACTAGAGGCCTGGTGCACAAAAATTTGTGCACTCAGGGGGGTCCCTCAGCCTGGCCTGTGCCCTCTCACAGTCTGGGACCCCTTGGGGGATGTCCACCTGCTGGCTTAGGGCCGCTCCCCAGGGGATCGGGCCTAAGCTGGCAGTCAGACATCCCTCTGGCAGCTTGGGATATCCACTTGTCAGCGGGGAGCAGCCTAAGCTGCAGTCAGACATCCTTAGCGTTGCTGAGGAGGCAGGAGAGGCTCCCACCACCACCTCTGTGCTGGCAGCTATCCGCCTG